GCGTGGCCCCCTGGACCGCGGGCACACGCTCGCGCCGGGCTTGGTTCCAATCGGGCGGCCCCGCTCCGTTCGGATTTGGTTCGGGTTTCCAATGGGACCGCGCGGGGGCCCGTCTGAGGTCAATTTACTGTCGCCATGGGGACGCCCAGCCTCCACAGCCACCCTTCCTTGCGTCCAGTAGCTCACATCACAGAACATCCAAGCAACGCACACATGTGACTTTGAGTGAAAATGAATCTGTGTGATGACGTGTGACAAAAACAGACACTTACTGCCGTAGGGAGAGTTAGCGGAGGAGCCATTAAGAAATCCAGGCGAGCCAGGGACCCCTAGATTGGCCATGGCGCCACTTCCATATCCATTCATGCTAGTGCTCACTGTGTTGTAATTGGACTGCTGGGGAGTACTGCTGGGGACGTAGCCTCGCGGGGACACGCTGCTTGTATTGCGACTGTAGCCGACTGTTAAAATCCCCCCCCGGGCCAAAAATAACATTATTATCAGGAAGAGACACTTGGGGGGGGAGTTTCCCCGCAAATCTGTATCATATAGTAAACATTCCTAATTGACCTGACGCTCCGCTTGAGCCCCTGCGCCCCGAGCAGCTCCAGCAACCTTGTCGCGCCAACCCCTGCGCGTGTCGTCGCCAGGCCCGGCCTGTCTCTACCGGCTTCGATCTAACCGTCGGCGGCTTTCGGGTTTCTCTTTAGAAGCAATTACCAACAGCTTGGACTCCCGGTCTGTCCCCCACTAGGCGAGCTGGGCGCCTCTGCAGACCTTCAAATACCGTGGCTGACAGGGAGAGCTTGTTTGTGGCCACGACGCCCACAAAAGGCTATTCGGGGGTCATTTTTCCAGCTGCGATTTCTCTCGGTGTGGGGAGGGGGAGGGGGAGGGGTTGCCTTCTGAGATGACTGCCTGCACTCATGTTGTAAGAGGGGCCCTAAAAGGACTCAAAGAACCGGCTCCGACAGTAGGTGCCGCGCCCCCGGCCACCCAGGGCCAGGGGATGAGGGGTGGGGTGGGGGAAATGGGCATTTCTTTCCATTTGTTCTTTCCAAATTTAGAAACCAAATCCCACCCTTGCAGGACATCCAAGGAGGTCCCACCGACTGACTACATCACAGCTACCCTACGGCTCACCCCAGACTTTCAGGAAAGCCAAGTCACTTAGGAGTCCACTCAGAGAAACTCCTAGGCAATTCCATAGCCTCAATGGAAGCCGACACGGCCGCGACACGGGTTCTGGGTCCTCTGAGTATTCCCTGCAGGGCACTCGTGGCTGAGCCGCAGGGGACCGGGCACTGCCCTCAACCCCGCTGGACTCGTGCCAGGCCAGCTGCGGCTAAGTCTCCACCGCCCCGCGCAGGCTCAGGGAGGGGGTCGGCCCCACGCAACCACCTACCTTGGTCGTTGGCTTGCGAAGTCTCTGACACGTTCACGGCCAGCTGGCTGCTGAAGGAGTTCACACCCATCATGCCCGTGTGCGCGGGGGTGTTGCCCAGCGTGGGGATCTGGTTGTGGTTGCGAGGGACGCTGTACAACGCCTCAGCGATGTCAGCCGCTCGCTTCAGGATGATCTCCTGGGCAGGAGGGGAGCCCGTCACCAGAGGCCAGGTTCGGGGGGCCGCCCCCCAGTACCCAGTCTGCATGAAGCTCGCGGGCCCCTGGCAGCACGGCCCCAGCACCCGCCCAGCCCCTCCACCGCACCTCACTGGGAAAAATAATGATGGCAGGCCGCCGTCCCTGGGTGCGGACTGTGACAAATGCATTTTCAATGGGGAAAGAAATCCCCTTAGGAAGGTAATTTAAAGGTGCTTCTGGGACGGCACAACATCTGTACTCCGCGCCTGCAGCTTGAAGGCCCCTGTGGTGCCCAGGCCAGCTGGCCGTTCGCAGGCCCCGGTCGCCCTGGGAAGGGTGGCATGGCCAGCCACCGTCACCTACCTGGTTGTTGTGGGGCATCCCGTATA